TGTGTTTGGAAATGAGCAGGCAGATAGACCGACTGGCTCTGCATGACTTGGTGGTGAATTTATGTATCGCAATTTAGATATTGTGGAGGTCGTCTGGGAACAAGTGAACAGTGCGGAGGCGCAGATAGATCACCACGGTCTAAGGAGAATGGCGCTGCTAGGAGTTACCAGGGCGATTTGGCCGATGCTAAACACTCAGGGGAAGGATGAGACGGATATACAATCAGACGGTTGCTGGTAGCATCGGAATTGGAACTTTTCGCTTGCTTCTATAGATAGGGACTGAGCACTTATGGAAGTCCAACATTCAATATTGGGCAGGTATACGTTCAGTAGTAAAAGATCTTTTTTCACGCCTTGAGGCGTATCAGGCATATGGGAAGAGCATCATATTTTTACAAACCAGTCGACACTAGGTGGACGTTCAGTAGTTTCTCATTACACACAAACGGTCGCATTCACTTTATGCAATGTTGAAATCAACGCGGAGCGGCTTGCAAATAAATCTTCCCGCAGCTGAAATTGCGGAATTACGAAACGTTATCCCAAGACCTAAGCCGCAGACGCTGACAAGCACAAATAACAAACAAAATATGTTTAAAAAAAAAAAAAATTTGACAACCTTTCTAAAAAGACTCCATAGTGGTCTTAAATCATTAGCGCCGGCCCTTCTCTGGGGTGACCGCACTGTTTATTCACAAAGAAGACATCGGGGAAATCCCGTATTTATGATGTGCAAAACTAATTGTTTAAGTTTCTATTTACTAACAGTGGTGCGTAACCATGCATCCTTCCCTGTATCAACATACGCATGTGAATCATGGACTATCTCCAAGTTCTTAAGAAAGAGAATAGGGGCTTTTGAGGTGAAATGCTATAGAAAGATACTCAGAATATGTTGGACAAAGAAGAGAGGAAATACTGACATTTTGGAAGATCTGAACATGAAGAAAGATTGGCTAATAAACAGCATCCTGTCTCGGAAGCTAAAATATTTTGGTCATATCAAGCGCCACGACGGATTAGAAAAAATTATAGCAAAAGGCATGGTACCAGGAAGGAGGGGCAGTGGCCGACATAGTATAAGTGATTCCTTGAGTATGAAAGTACATGAGGCGGAAGAGCTGGCGAGAGACCAAGTTTCTTTCAGGCAGACCGTGATGAGAGCAACGTTCCGCAAAAGGACCTGCTACATGATGATGATGGTGCATAACCAGCCACTCTATCTGCTTGTTCACTACCCAACACACCGGCATATGTGGAGAAAATGTTCAAAGAAAGCTAACTAAGAGGGTTTGCAATATGACGGAGCCTATCTAAACAGTTAAATGTTGAATTAACAATCGCCATCATAGCACTCTTGACACTCTGATAAGCGCTCCGTCCCCATCTTTATCAGCAAGCGAAGAGTTCCAATTCCAGTGGCATCAGTAACCATCTAATTGTACATCAGACTCGCCTTTCTCTTGAGTGCCGAGCGTCAGCCTGATCCACTGGTACTCCCCGCAGCGCATTCTCCCCAGACCGTAAGATATATTCCTGCCTTCGCCCTGTTCACTGGCTCTCAAAGAGACGTCACAACATCCAGCTTGTCATACATCGGTTCACCACTAAGTGGTGCAGAATAGGCCAGTCTATCTGCTCGTTCGTTACCCAACACGCCAGTACATTCTGGAAAAAAAAACATCCAAAGGATGGTAACCACCCGGGACCTCTGAAACGATGCTTGCCCACTCTGCTCGGAGCATGCCTGTCTCCACCTTACTCAGCATATACTGTGAGTCAATCGACTTCGCAGCCACATATACACACAATTTAAAATCGGCGAATCAGCCATGTGCACATGTGGATTGGCACCTGAGACAACAGACTGTCCTAAATACAACATATCAAGGCTAAACGTTTGGCCAAGAGAAACATCGTGCAAGTGAAACTTTACGGGTTGCTGAGCGAATTACAAAAGACAGTGAAGTTCATACTAGCGGCATTACAGATGTAGATAATTTATTTCAAGCGAACGAAAGAAGAAGTTACAATTACACACTGGAAAGAACAGGCCAATCACAGAGATAAGTGGAGGCGGGTTATATCTGCTGCAATAAACCTCAAGAGCTGGGAATGTGGAAGCAGAAGTTGCTCCTCATATATCATGAGTGTGGGGGCAGTTGGAACCCGCTGAGCAGTGTATCTCTTTTGTTTTTGGCTCATGAGAAAGAAAAGAGAAGCAACACACATTTGAAGCTAATTATTTTGTAAATAAATACTTTAAACTGTAGCAAATTTCCGCTGAAATAAAAGCTTGAATTTTGTCGTGAACAAATTCTTGAACAAATCTAACGAGCACTTGATTAAAACATATTTATGGAAATCAAGATTTTGACCACGTCAGTGCGTCACATTTATTTTCCACTTTCCATATACTCGTTCCGGACCTATTTATGTGAGGCAAAAGGGGGGGGGGGGGTGGGGAAAGGGGTGGGGGGGTGCTGGAGGGCAATTTTACAAAGAGAAGGGCAAGTTTTAGCCATTTTGTCACACCCTACCGCACCCCCACACCAAGTGATGATACCCGTGGCGTTCCGCACCTCGAACCACTTCCTACACCCATGCTCGCAGACCACACGCAATGTAACCTCTTTCAAACAAATACTGGACAGGACATTACTCACTACTAGCTTGTAGAGTTATGTCCCCGTGTATTCAGCCTGACTGTGCTTTTGAGGTGTTTCGCTTTGCCGATAATCACACACGTTCTCTGTATTAGTTAACACATTGTGCAATTGTTAGTTGTTGTCAGTGGGTTACCCCGTCCGCGCAACATATCCGCCTGTGATTTCTTAGTCGTTGTATCCTTTATTCTTTTTGTTTATCCAAGGATTATATATAATATTTCATTGTTTAAAGCAAGGCTGCGATATGTGCGTCTTTTTGCCGACACATCCGACTTCTTAAGGCATGTTTTTGGTCCGAATGTAGCCTTTCCGGTGTTTTATCATGTAACAATAAAATAGCTGCAGATCTGTGACCTAGAGGTGAGTAAACTCATTTCACAATCTAATCTTTAGCATACTATTGTTATACTTTCCTGACAGGTAGTTTAGAAACTAAACCCATATTCTCTTTAGACACTGGTACGAGAGTCACATCGTAGAAGATATTAGGACATCGTCACGTAAAATTCACGGTGGTACGACAGTCACTTCTCTTCTTCATCCTCTTCTTTCTTCTATCCACAGTCTAGCATAGGCCCTCAACCAACATACGACAGATCGTTCTATCCTTCGCTATTGCATACAGCTCTCCTCATGTCCTCTTCTTCTTCTTCTTCTTCACTTCCTCTTTTACCGCTGTGGGTGTCGAGGGAGATATAAGGTTCTGTTTCTGGCTCTTCTGGCCGCCTCGACCATAGGCACATCGGGCTGTTGTAGAGCTTCTCTGATGTTATCCTTCCATCTTGTTCTTGGTCTACCTCTTGCTCTACGACCTTCTTCTCTTTCCATGTATGCTTTGAATGGTATGGTGTCACAAGGCATTCTCTCTAACCATTTCACTTGCTGTCTTTGTATGTAATTTAGAATTGGTTCTGTGCCGACTTTTTCTCTTATGATCTCATTCCTGATCTTATCTCTTATGGTCACTCCTACAGCCCTTGTCAGACATCTGGCACGAGAGTCACATCGTAGAAGATATTAGGACATCGTCACGTAAAATTCACGGTGGTACGACAGTCACTTCTCTTCTTCATCCTCTTCTTTCTTCTATCCACAGTCTAGCATAGGCCCTCAACCAACATACGACAGATCGTTCTATCCTTCGCTATTGCATACAGCTCTCCTCATGTCCTCTTCTTCTTCTTCTTCTTCACTTCCTCTTTTACCGCTGTGGGTGTCGAGGGAGATATAAGGTTCTGTTTCTGGCTCTTCTGGCCGCCTCGACCATAGGCACATCGGGCTGTTGTAGAGCTTCTCTGATGTTATCCTTCCATCTTGTTCTTGGTCTACCTCTTGCTCTACGACCTTCTTCTCTTTCCATGTATGCTTTGAATGGTATGGTGTCACAAGGCATTCTCTCTAACCATTTCACTTGCTGTCTTTGTATGTAATTTAGAATTGGTTCTGTGCCGACTTTTTCTCTTATGATCTCATTCCTGATCTTATCTCTTATGGTCACTCCTACAGCCCTTGTCAGACATCTCATTTCCGTGGTTACTAATTTTCTTTTATGGTTTGTTGTGAGTGACTATGTCTGGCAGTGGTAGCACAGAGTTGGAATAAATATGCTTTGAATAAGATGTCTCTTTGTGCTGATTAGGATTGTCTTATGCTGCAAGAGGGGCGCTAGCTGTCCCAATACTTGGTTTGCTTTACTGCATCTAATGTTAATTTCTTTATCCAATTTCTCATGTCCTCACTATCATTTAAACTTCACTGTCTAGCTCCCTTCTCTGTGCGTTTTTGGTCTGCCTTTTTTCTATGCTCCTATGGGGTTCCTGTGCATATACATTCTAGCTGTATTATTCTTAGGTTTTCTCAATGTGTGTCCTATCCAGCGTCAGCGTCTTTCCTCACCTCTTGGTTCACTGGAAATTGTTTAATTATCTCCCAAGGCTCTACATTAGTGATTCTATCATGCCATTTAATTCCCTATATTCTGCGCTGGCACCAGTTAATAAATGTGTGTAGTCTGCTAGTAATTGCCTTAGTTGTTCTCCATGTTTCTGATTCAAACAACAGTACTTATATTTTTTAGTGGGATTACACATTTTGAGTTGGGTATTAGTTTGAATGTCTTTAGACCTCCAAAAATTTCCTACTGCAATGAACGCTCTTTTCGCCTTTTGTATTCAACAGAAGGACGCATTTTGAAATCGATCCTAGAATCTTCACAATGCGAGACAAAAGGCTTAAATTTATCACCACCTAGTGAAGCTGCTTTAAGAGTTCTAAAGAAATTGAACGTGTTCATTTCATAACATTTTGTCTTCACCTTTCCAGTTAAGAATGGAACATCTACCTCTTGTGGACATACTGAGAGTGTTCAACAACCCGATCAGTGAGGAGCAAGCTTGGGCCGTCTGCTACCAGTGCTCCCAGTTCTTGCTTGCCCACCCACTCCAGGAGTTCCTCCAGTTCATTGTTGATTCCGGGATCCACAGCATCTGGGTCAGCAAACAAGGAGATGTTCTAGTCCAGGCGAGAGAGATTGAAGCTGCCACACATGTTGAGCATCGTCCGCAAGGTAAAAATATACACAATTAGGGGGGGGGGGGGGGGGGAGGGGAGGGGCGGTTTAACCTCCCCCTCCCCCAATCCCCATTTTTTATTTTCGGCGTTCTTGTTGTATTGTATTATGTTATGTTATAATATATTCTATTGTAAATGTTGTATTATATTATATCTTCTTCTTCTTCTTTTTGTCAAAATCTGCTTGTGCCGCTAGGCGTCGCAGTCTATCAGATGATCGGCAACCGAGCCAGGGTGCGCTCAATCGCTTCATATGCCGTGATGTTATGAAGTCTCAGGTTGTCTGTGACTCCTTCAATCCATATTCTTCTTGGTCTTCCCCTGCCTCTTGGTGTTTCGATTTTCATGTTGTATGCTCTTGATGCTGGCATCGTTGGTTCCATTCTCATTAATTATATTATATTATATCGTATAACATATACGTAGGTGTAAACCCATAAGTGCTCCGTTCTACTTCCAACTCAAGCCTGAGTTTGGGGATTCTCAGCGTAGTGCACGAACTCCGTTTCCCTGGCGAGGTTCCTGAAATACTTTGGGTAGATTTTAAACTCCAAATTGTGCCCGGGCAGCGCCGTTAGGCTACTCTTTTTTTCGATTTCCAACTGCCAAGATATTTTTTACGAAACAATACAAACGGGTGACCTGTCTTAACACCCAGAGACAAGGGGAAATAACTAGAAGTCCACGTGAAAAAATAGCAACCTTCACCGGGGTTTGAACAAGTGACCTCCAGCACTCGAGGCGGATGCCATACCTCGAGACGTGGATGGCACAACAAGAAAGACATCACCTAATCATATCCAAACCTTCACCATGAGACGGACACGACCTGGCCGGCCAAATAGATACGGAAGACTTAAAAAAAAATACTAGTACCAAACACAACAGAATAAAATAGCAACTCAATTTGTTTGCATAACTGTAACCGAAATTGACTAGAACGAGGCTAGCACCCTGGATGAGAGGTTGAATGTGGCTAATTGAAATCGAACGAAAGAACAAAAAAAAAAAACGTATCAAAGACAAGAAGCTTTTTACTAGTCAATGTTTCCTGATGTGCAGATCCTTGATGATATCAGTATTTCAGTTCTTCTTGGTCTAATACATAAATACATTTTGTGACTGGGTCAACCTGTATTCCAGGTACATTTTCAAAGCCCGTATGGGTAGGATTCGATCTATGACCACGCGATTTACACACAAGCGAGTCTGCATCTGCACCACAGATGCTCTCATTTTGTCCAGAACCCCAACACATGTACCTCTGTTTGAGGGTCTCCATCCTGTGTGGTAATTCTAGTTACACACTCCCTCGATGGCTATCATTACCCCTCCGCAAATTTCCTCCTGTGTACAACAGTGTGTTGCCTCCAATTAACTGTAATTACACGCCTTCATCTGGCACAAACATCGCTCACTAGGGATTGTCCATGCGTCATACATACTCTCTACACAGAGAAGTCAAAATATATATCGACATAAAAGGATAGGGAACCCTTGCGCCCCAGAAACATTATACTTCACACACACACACACACACACACACACACACACTCACACACATATATTTATGTATATATATATATAATATATATATATATAATATATATATATATATATATATATATTTATATATATATATTTATATATTTATGTATGTATATATATATATATATATATATATATATATATATATATATATATATATATATATGGAGTCGAAGTGTCGTTGGCGGCTAGAAGCCCGCCTGCAGATGGGAATGTTGTGGGTTCGCGCCCTGACGGAGCTGGACTTTAGTGGGTACCAGGTGCAGCCCCAGGAAGTAAAGGCGGTCGGTGTCATGCTGATTCCATCAATTGATCTATACAAATATTGGTCTAGCCCTATATTCCCAATCGATAAAAATATATATATATATATATATATGTGTGTGTGTGTATTTACTAGCAGTACCCGCCACGCTTTGCTGTGGCTTAGTCTGGCGAAACGGTGGAAGGGGTGGGGGGAAGAGAAGGCGCGCGTGTCTAATATGTTTAATATCACAATCTGTGTCTGCGCAGATATACAGATAGTCTAATTTGAACACACAGCACATACGTGTCTTTATAGTAGTGGTGGTCTAAATTGTATTATTATGACTTGAAGAGATAGGTTTTGTGTACCTCATGCTAAAGTTGTTTTTCTTTTTTATCAGCTGAAAGTAAAGCTTACTAAAAAAAAAACATGAGAACATTAAAATCATGTTTTAAGCTCTATCAGTTAACAGCGACTGATATCATCTGTGTAGCACTAGCTATTTGAATGTCTCTTGACGGTTTTTTTTTTCAACATCATGGAATCAACATGAGTGTCTCTGAGTGTCTCTCATGAGTGTCTCTTGACCGTTTTAAAAAAAATATCAACTATCATGAGTTTTTTTTTTTTTTTTTTTACATTGAATCAACTATCGTGAGTGTCTCGTGGCCGTTTTTTTAAAAAGTATATCAACAACTATCATGAGTGTTTCTTAACCTTTTTTTTTAAATATCATCAACTATCAAGAGTGTCTCTTGACCGTTTTTTTTTAACATAGAGTCAACTATCATGAGTGTCTCTTGAGTGTGTGTTTTTTTTACATAGAATCAACTATCATGAGTGTCTCTTGAGTGTGCTTTTTACATAGAATCAACTATCATGAGTGTCTCTTGAGTGTGTGTTTTTTTTTTTTTACATAGAATCAACTATTATGAGTGTCTCTTGAGTGTGTTTTTTTTACATGGAATCAACTATCATGAGTGTCTCTTGAGTGTGTTTTTTACATAGAATCAACTATCATGAGTGAGTGTGTTTTTTACATCAACTATCATGAGTGTCTCTTGATTTTACATAGAATCAACTATCATGAGTCATGAGTGTCTCTTGACATAGAATCAACTATTTTTTACATAGAATCAACTATCATGAGTGTCTCTTGAGTGTGTTTTTTACATAGAGTCAACTATCATGAGTGTCTCTTGAGTGTGTTTTTTACATAGAATCAACTATCATGAGTGTCTCTTGAGTGTGTTTTTTACATAGAGTCAACTATCATGATTGTCTCTTCACTATTTTTTTTTTTTTTTACAAAGAATCAACTATCATGAGTGTCTCTTCACTATTTTTTTTTTTGTTACAAAGAATCAACTATCATGAGTGTCTCTTGACTACTTATATGTTGCCCTTATTATTTGAGTGTCTATTGACTGTTTTCATGCAGCACTAGCTATCTTGATTGTCAATATACATTTTTGTGATTTTACTAGACAATTTCTGCGTCCAGCAGTCTGCCATTGCTTTCTCAATGATCGGCTTTGGACACCAATATCGAAATCGACGCAATGTGGTCTGCTGCCAAATCACATGCAGCTGGAGTAGAACTGCATAATTCGGAGTTATGAAGCGCGTTTGCTCTACCCAAACAGCAAACGCCGACGTAACATCCCTTTAAAGGACCCTTCTACACGCTTTAATGCTTACTGGGCATATGGGCTGGACCTATATTGTAGAGACCAATCGGCACTTGATGGATGATGTGGTCAAGATCACACCAGCCGCCTTTACTTTCCAGGTCTGTACTTGGTACCCATTTGAGGCTGAGTGAACATGGGAAATGAGCTCATTTTAAATAAAATTTCCCGCTCTCTCAAGGCCCCGAACCCATGCCTTTCCGAACCACAGCAACGTCACCACATGGGGGATACATTTCTAGTTTTTAATGACATAATTCAGCAGCAATAAATATGTTCTTTTTGGTCTTTTTTTACACGCAAATAGATGCTAGCCCCGACCCTAGCGGTGAACGTAGACGACACCATCGTGTCATCGCTACAGAAACACATGTAAGTATGGACCCAATAATCCATTTCGGTAATGTTCACCCATTCAGTCAGTATGAACCCAATAATCCAGTTCGGTAATGTTCACGAATTCAGTCAGTATGAACCCAATAATCCAGTTCGGTAATGTTCACGAATTCAGTCAGTATGAACCCAATAATCCAGTTCGGTAATGTTCACGAATTCAGCCAGTATGAACCTAATAATCCAGTTCGGTATTGTTCACCCATTCAGTCAGTATGAACCCAATAATCCAGTTCGGTAATGTTCACGAATTCAGTCAGTATGAACCCAATAATCCAGTTCGGTAATGTTCACGAATTCAGTCAGTATGAACCCAATAATCCAGTTCGGTAATGTTCACCCATTCAGTCAGTATGACTATTGCGGTAATGTTCACTTCAGTCAGTATTATCCAGGTAATTTCACTATTCAGTCAGTATGAACCCAATAATCCAGTTCGGTAATGTTTACCCATTCAGTCAGTATGAACCCAATAATCCAGTTCGGTAATGTTCACCCATTCAGTCAGTATGAACCCAATATTTCTACTACTATTCAGTCAGTATGAACCCAATATCCAGTTCGGTACTGTTCACTTCAGTCGCCACATAAGTTCGGTAATGTTCATCCAAGTTCGTAATGTTCACCCATTCAGTCAGTATGAACCCAATAATCCAGTTCGGTAATGTTCACGAATTCAGTCAGTATGAACCCAATAATCCAGTTCGGTAATGTTCACGAATTCAGTCAGTATGAACCCAATAATCCAGTTCGGTAATGTTTACGCATTCAGGCAGTATGAACCCAAAAATCCAGTTCGGTAATGTTTACGCATTCAGGCAGTATGAACCCAAAAATCCAGTTCGGTAATGTTTACGCATTCAGGCAGTATGAACCCAAAAATCCAGTTCGGTAATGTTCTCGCATTGCGATGATCAACAAACAGTTCTTGTTAATTTTACTGTAGCTGTTGTGTTACGGCCAGTGGTAGTCAGGACTGTTGTTGCTGACGCTGCAGGGGATTTCACTACTATTACTATTGCTCCTACTACTATTACAGTTATTACTACTATTGCTACTCCAAATATAACCTGTTATCCATATTCTACTACTATCGCCACTATTCCTGTTACTGATACTACTACTACTACTACTACTACTACTACTACTACTACTACTACTACTACTACTACTACTACTACTACTACTACTACTACTACTACTACTACTACTACTACTACTACTACTACTACTGCTGCTGCTAATGCTGTTGCTGCTGCTACTACTATTACTACCCCTACTACTATTACTATTACTAACACCACCACCACCACCACCACTACTACTATTACTACTACTACTACTACTACTACTACTACTACTACTACTACTACTACTACTACTACTGCTGCTGCTGCTGCTGCTGCTAATGCTGCTGCTGCTACTACTATTACTACCGCTACTACTATTACTATTACTAACACCACCACCACCACCACCGCTGCAGGGGATTTCACTACTATTACTATTGCTCCTACTACTATTACAGTTATTACTATCACTACTACTATTGCTACTCCAAATATAACCTGTTATCCATATTCTACTACTATCGCCACTATTCCTGTTACTGATACTACTACTACTACTACTACTACTACTACTACTACTATTACTACTACTATTACTACTACTACTACTACTACTACTACTACTACTACTACTACTACTTCTACTACTACTACAATTACTACTACTACTACTACTGCGACTACTATTGCTACTGCTGCCAATACTATTTAAATACCACTGCTCTTAGTACTACTGTAACTGCTGTTGTCACTACAACTACTGAGACCACTACTATTGCTGCTGCTGCCGCTGCCGCCACCAACACCACGACTACTACTACCACTGCTGCTGCTCCTGCTGCTAATAGTTTTTGTTACCAAAACTGTTTACTACTACTACTCTTATTACTCTGTCACTGCTGCTGCTGTTGTCACTACTGAGTTCGCCTACTACTATCATCGTAACGACAGATAATTCTGCCATTATTACTGCAATTTACCCTAATGTTACTACTACTTTTACTGCTGCCGCTGCAGCTGCTACTGCTGCTACTGCTACTACTACTGTTACTACTGCTGCTACTACTAATGCTGCTGCTGCTGCTACTGCTACTACTAGTATTATGTTTAGCTCTACTACTATTAGCACTGCTACTGCAGCTGTCACCACTGCAGCTGCTGTTATTACTACTACAAACATTATTGCTTTACTGCCCCTGCCACTGCTGCTGCTGTTACTACTACTACTGCCAATATTTCTGCTACTGTTATTTTAAAAACATTTTACTGAACAGTCGAAGCACGTTTGTTATTGCCCTTGTCTCTACAGGCTGTCCAGGCACTTGGCGCAATCATTTTTGAAACCCTAGACTACGGCATTGATCCGTCTGAAGAACGTGCATTGAGCCACGAGTTGGAGTCACTGATTGCAGCCATGACTAAACCCGAGAACTCATCGGAGGTGGAGCTGGAGGCGGTCAACGCTGCTGCTGCTGATGATGAGGGCATTGTGGGCGATGCTGATGTTGAACATGGATTTTGCATACAGGATGTTATCAGGGTAAATAGAATGTTAGAGAAAAAGGTGGAGAGAAGGGGGAAAGGGGAGGGGGAATGAATGTAGGAATGGGAATTCTTCTTCTTCTACCTTACTAGCCCCCAATGGAGCATAGGCCCTCAACCAGCTAACGCCTGGTCGTTCTATCTTTTGCTATCGCATGCAGCTCTCCCCGTGTCCTCCCCATCCTTGTAACTTCATTTTCTAGCTCCCTCCTCATTTGCTTTTTATCTTTCCTTTATTCCTATGCCCCTGTAGGTTCCAATGCAAAGACATTCTAGTTATAGTGAATTGGAATAGGAAGAGGGAAATTGATAAATGTTAGCGGGGCAGGGAAGGGGTGAAACAGGGCTAGATTAGAGAGTTAGAGATAATTATAGTAAGGAAATAAAGAGGAGCAAGGGGAAGAGATGGAGAACAGAGAGTACGGACGTATAAACTGGATAACAATATAACAGAAATGGAAAGGAACCGAGACAGATTCAAGGGCAGAGAATGAAGGGGAGGAAAAGAGAAAAACAAAATGTAGAGGGTGCGAGAGGGTAGTTAGGAATGGAGAAAAGAAAATATCAAGCGTTAAACAAAGGTTTACCATTGTCCTCTTCATCATTTGTCTAACGACACACAGGACTAGCATTCGATTCCTCCACTCCCCGCTACTGCATGCAACTATTTCGATTTCTGACATGAAGTTCAGCCCAGCAATTTTTTTTCCCTCTCGTAAAAATTTTCTTTCTAATGTTTCCATTGGGCATGCTCTTTTCACCGATCGTTTGTTTCCTATTTCAGTACGTATTTAAAAAAAAAAAAAAAAGTAAAGATGTCTTTACACGCCCTTAGGCGCGTCAGGCATATGGGAAGAGCACACATAGTTTTTACAGACCAATTCGGGACTCGGTGGGTAATGTGGTCAGCATTACGCCGGCCGTCTTTACTTTCCCAGGACAGCCCATCCTGGTACCCATTTGAGGTTGGGTCGACCTGCGACCTTCCCTACCACGATACAAATCCACGCAGCCCGCAGTGGGTTTCGATCGCGGTACGTTTGATTACGAGTCGGACTCGCAACGCCTTAGCCACGGACGCCGCAATTTCATTATTATTTTATCTCAGAGGTGTCAAATATATCCCCACTTTCTTTATCTTATTGCAGTCTGATTTCGTCACTTAAAAAAATAAAAATAAAGATATTTTTATGATTTTTCTCAGATAACTTTTTTCAAATGCATTCAACTTTCGCTCCATATCATTGGTGACAAATATTCAGAAATTAATGACAACTAGTGCCCAAGAAAGTAGATCGACACCCACCCCCCCCCCCCCCGCCCCCACCCCACCCAAGATAGAGGAATAGTGTACCGTATTAAGACTACATACATAGCACAATATAGTTTGCCAACAGATGTCCATGTTTTCTGAATCTAGAACACACAGATATGTCAATGGAATTTGTCATCTGGAAATGCTGAGCACGTACTCTACAACTGTGGATTATTCTGCTAACAGATCTGACTTAATTGTATGCAGATTATTGGTTCCTTGCCTCTCAGGCAGAGGCACTCTCAATAATAAGGAAGCCCCAGTTAGTCGAATCTTACAACGTGCTTATTGGGGAGACAGTGGTTCTATTCTTGTTTTCCCCAAAATGGACCCCGAAACCCACACGAGGATCGATCCTGTAGTGGTTTTCCCCACTTCTTAAATCATACTGTACATTGATGTTCTGACTGTGACGGTCTGTGCGAGTTCTCAGTATCACCACTCTTTTGCTTGCATTCTTGTATTCAGATTTGCAACCAACACGTCACTAGTAGCCAGGATGCACAGCACCATTACCGAGCTGTGTGTCGAGCTCTAGCCACGGAGGCCAGCGAGCTGTTCACATTTCTAGACAAGATTGCCTCGGCCAAAGAGGTGAGTTCTAGTGTCGTAGAAACTCGCTGAACATATTTGGTTCGGTTTGAATCATACACCGGATCAACATCATGGCACAAAGGCAAATTTTCCAAAAGTGCTCTGTTCTATTTCCAACTCAAGCCTGAGTCTGAAGAATGTCAGAGCAGTGCACGCACCCTGTTGCACCGTCAGGATCCTGAAATACTTTGGGTTGATTTTTACCTCCAAATTTTGCTCGGGCTGAGCCGTTACTATTTTTCGATTTCCAACTGCCAAAGTATTGCTTACGTGCGAAACATTACACGCGGGCATCTGGTCTTACTATACAGAGACCAGAGGGAAATTACCAGAACCCCACGTGAAAAAAAAAATCCCTAGCCTTCACTGGGGCTTGAACCAGGAACTTCCAGCACTAGAGGCGGATGCCATGCCTCGAGACCTCGTGACACATTTAAGGGTTTCTAGAAGGGAATGCAAACGGCTGCAGCCGCTATTGACTCAGAAGATGTGTACAACAGCGTCCCATACGACATGCTCAAAATATGATGAACATATGCTGACGTGAGTTGAATTCGATAACTCCATGACAACTTAAAAACTTGATAGAAAAAAGAACAAGGGAAAAGCAAAAAGGTACAGTGCACATGGCTTATTTACATGGCGTAGGTGATACAAGAGCAATAAACTGGTCAGTAATTCAAACGTTGTGGCTAACATATCTAGGAAGTAAGATGACATCTATAGGGGACTCAGTGCCAGAAATATCATCTAGAAACGCACTGGCATCTAGTGCCTTCAACAAACTGTCAAACATCTGGAAGTTAAAGACACTCAGCAATCACACAAAACTTGAGATCTTCAACTCCTGTATCATTCCAGTGCTAACTTATGGATGTGAGAGTTGGAAAGCAACGGTAGCTCTAGATAAAGAAATATACAATTTTAAGAACATATATCTTAGATGAATATTAAGTCTTCATTGGACAGATTTCAGGTCCGGTACGCAAATAAGACCAGAGACCAAGCAAGATAATTAATCAAATTTTATAAGAAAGCGCCGCTGGAATTACATCGGCCATGCACTCAGAGTGATAAGACAAGACTTCTCTATCACGCCCTCACATAAACACCAGCAGGGAACAAAAACGAGGAAAGACCAAGAGAGACTGGGCGTTGAGCCATCATCAGAGTAGGCATGGGGCTAAAGAATATCCAAGACTTAAAACAGGTGGCAACGAACCGCCAAACATGGAGAGCTATGACCTTTGACTTATGCTCAAGAGGAGAGACTAACTAACAAAGGCACTGCATGCCCTAATGGTAATGGCACATTTTTTGCTTTATTGTCACTTCCAAAGAGAAGATTTCATTTTTATTTGCACCTGTTAATCCTGATAGAGCACAGGTTATCAACCATGCCTTAATATCTTGTGCAAATCACACCATCTACTACTACTACTTCTTCTTCTGTTTCTTTACGTCCTCTTTGACTGCTTCGAGTGAAGAGGGAGATATAAGGTCCTTCTGTGTGCTCTTCTGGCTGCTTCGAGCATAGACACGTCATGGTGCTGTAGAGTTTCTCTGAGGTTATCTTCCATCTTGTTCTTGATACCATCAACTCTCTATCGCATATGGTATGTCTGTATTTCTCTTTTTGTGTGTGCTATTTAAAAAAAAAAATATTTGTGTGTTTCTGTGCAAATAAGTTTTCAAGGTGTTTTCAGTTCAGTACCAGCGTCTTATCCCCACCTATTGATTTACTTGATTGTATTGAAAAGCATGCATTAGATGTAACAATATCCTGCATGAGAACAGCGGTGGAGGCGGTAACGGCTGAATGTCAAAGGCTGAAGTCTTGAATGAGCTATAGCAAAAACGAAATAAAATAAAAAATAAGTACATTATAGAAGCTGGCTTCAGACAACAAAGCATGTTACTAGCAGAATGGAATGGCTTGCACAACTTTACACAAGTCACTTCAGGTGTCTGCGCTGCTGTGCCTCTGGGTCGTAAGCTGCTTTAAGATTAGCCAGACATGGTAGAGCATCCATACATGAAGCGACTGCTTCACTGGGGATGGGCTGAAAATATGGGCGATAATCAAGACGCGGAGGAAGAACTTGTGGAATTTTAATGTCGTTGTCACTGACGCCTTTAGAATAGTAACTGTTCGTGGACTACCAATGAAAGGATTGGAGCTTGACAAGAATTGTCCTGATAATTGAATCATCATTCGTTCTTCCTGTGTGGGTTCAGGGGCCCTATTGTAGAGATAACAAGAATAGACCCACTGCCTACCCAAAAGCATTTCGTAAGATTCAACTAACTGGTAGCTTCCTTCGAAGTCAGAGTGCATCTGCCTGAGAGGCAAAGAACCTGCAGTCTGCATACACATTAGACAGATCTGTAAAATGGATGCGCATGCAACACTCAAGTTCTGGAACAGGACTGCAGTCCAGAAGTGGACGAACACCCAGAGCATTCCGCCGGAGTTTACAGCTGGTGAACGTGGAGAAGAAGAAGAAGAAAAAGAATCACCATTTAGTTATACATTCATAAATATTTTCTAATATGATGCAGATATGTATGCCAGAAGCCGTGGTATCTTTATAGCCAGATAGATGCTCGTCTGCTACGCGATAGAGGTCAAATATTCAAATGTGCATCGAGGCAGATGTTTTTTACACTGACCTTGGCTCTCAGTCCAACCCAGCCTAAATGGGTACAAGGTAATATCCTGGGAAGTAAAGGCAGGCCGGTATAATTATCCATCCAGTTCTGATTGGTTTCAATAATATAAGTTTAGCAATATATACCAGATGCCTCATAGGTGTGAAAGGGTCTTTAAACATGTATGTGATTGTTTTACTGTTCTTCACCGGTGTTTTGCAACTGCTGACGAACGCTTATTAACTGAACCATAGGCTATGTATTGGATGCATGTGTTGTTGCAGAGCAAATTTTTTTTCCACTATCTATGTCATCAACGACAAAGCGAGCTAATATCGCTTTAACACGTTACAGAAACTATCACACGACAAAGATGTGGACGCCAAGAGACTGGAAGAACTCCAAACAGCTGACTGGGTTTGTTGCTGTCCCTGTTCTTGTGTATTATGTGTAGGGAACCGGCACACCCTAGGGCAGCGGTTCCCAACCTTTCTGATGCTGCGACCCTTTTATACATTTGCTCATGTAGTGGCGACACACCAGTCATGAAATTATTTTCGTTGCTGCTTTATAACTTCAGTGAATATGTGTTTTCTGATAGTCTTAGGCAACCCCTATGAAAGAGTCGTTCGACCCACACAAGACAATGTGTCAATAGTAGCATCTTTCAGGTCGCGTTTGCATATAGGTCCTTATAGCGTAGCTTTAGCATTCCTGAGATTGTTCCCCTGTTTCCAGTCCACCCTACCATAGATCCTTTGCAATAGGGACAGGAGTCATGTTCCTGCCATGGCAGGCATATTTCTTTCAGCAGAGAGTACACTGTTGGCAGTATGCTGTTTTGAACACACATTCAGTTCGTTGGGGACAAAATCAGGCTGCTGGTTATGTGTCGTATTAAACTCTTTCAGTACCACATGTAATTATTGGTTGCCATTTGCATGATGTACATTTCTTATTGCATTTTCAAGGGGTTCCAAAACCTGGAGGATAAGGCCTCTTGAAACACGTATCCCGCCTCCTATGCCTGCCGGGCTGCCGAAATTTCTTCTTCTTCTTCTTCTTCTTCTTCTTCTTCTTCTTCTTCTTCTTCTTCTTCTTCACTTCCTCTTTTACCTCTATGGGTGTCGAGGGAGATATAAGGTTCTGTTTCAAGCTCTTCTGGCTGCCTCGACCATAGGCACATCGTGCTGTTGTAGAGTTTCTCTGATGTTATCCTTCAATCTTGTTCTTGGTCTACCCCGTGCTCTACGTCCTTCTTCTCTTTCCATGTATGCTTTGTATGGTATGGTGTCACAAGGCATTCTCTTTAAGTGGGCAAACCATTTCACTTGCTGTCTTTGTATGTAATCCAGAATTGGCTCTGTGCCGACTTGTTCTCTTATGATCTCATTCCTGATCTTATCTCTTATGGTCACTCCTACAGCCCTTCTCATACATCTCATTTCCGTGGTTACTAATTTTCTTTTATAGTTTGTTGTGAGTGACCATGTCTGGCACTGGTAGCACAGAGGTGGAATAAATATGCTTTGAATAAGATGTCTCTTTCTGCTAATTGGGATTGTCTTATGCTGTAAGAGGGGGGCTAGCTGTCCCAATACTTGGTTTGCTTTACTGCATCTAATGTCAATTTCTTTATCCAATTTCCCATCTTCGGTAAATGTAGTTCCCAGATATTTAAACTCAGATGCCTGTTTAATGTCATTGTATTCTATTGCTATGTTTAGATTTGTCTTCTTTTTTCCTATTGACATTACTTCTGTCTTTTCAGTGTTGATTCTCATATTATTTGTTTTACATTCTTCATTCATGGATGTTAGATGTTGTTGCAATTTCATGGCTGTATCTGCTATCAAGGCCTGGTCATCTGCAAAGAGTAATTCGTTGATCTTACTAAGATCTTCATTCATGGGCTTGGCATTCTTGCATATACTGTCGATGTAGGTGATAAACAGCAGTGGTGATAAGACACACCCCTGTCTTACTCCAGATGTCACTGTGAAATGATGAGATGTTCCCTGATTTATTCTAACTACACTTCTACAATCCCTGTATAAACTTTTGCACACTCCGATGAGGTGTTCCATATCTTGCCATTATTATTCATAGTAATTGTCTGTTGACTCTGTCAAATGCCTTCTCCTGGAGCCGAAATTTATTGCCTGCCAAATTTTGCAGTATCTTACCATGTGTTTACTTTGTAGTTTCATGAACATATAATTAAAAGGAGTCCTTTCCACTTCATTTGAAGAATCCATAAAGTTTATTCTTACACTGTACACATCACCAGGGAAGTCACTGATTAACTATGTTAAATGGATTTCTTGTTGACTTATTAATACGAGATTTCCCACAGTAATTCTTACCGATTCAGCAAACCATAGAAAGGATCTGTTCTGCGTGAAAGATTAGTTGCGTATCCTTTACATGACGTTGCAGAACCAACCCCATCAGCCCCTGGCTGTTGTGTGTTTTCACTAGACAAATTTACGTCCAGTAATTTGCCATTATTTCTTGACGGTCGGCTCCCTGATACCACTGTCGAAACCAACGCAAGGCGTTTGACCCGCAGCTAGGATCGAACCCGGTACCCCGGCATTACGAAGCGTTCGCATTGACTTAGCCACAGAGCCGACTCTGCTTGAAGTACTTAACCAAAAAGACACAGTCAGGTACTGCTTATATGTTTGGCGTTGGTGGCTTAGGCGTTGCCAACGCACTTCGTATCACCAGGAGATGCCAGTTTGTTGGGAGATGAACAGGCGGTCAGACTGGCTGGCTTTGCACAACTTGGTGGAATACTGATACATGATAGGACAGACGTGGTTGGTGCCTTGTGTGACAGCGTGTACAGTTCGGGAAGGGGAGGGGGGTGAGGTGACGGGCAGATGGATCACCACGGTCTGGTGGTATTGATGCAGAGGGAAGTGACGAGAGGTTCTGGCAGATGCTCGAGGCTCAGAGGAAAGGCAAGACGGACGTTTAATCAGAATGCTACTGGCACTATTAAAATCGGAACTCTTCGCTGGTTGCTGAAGGCAGGGACGGCGCTTATGGGAAGGCCCCGAGTGCTGGGATGTCAGTTCTTGAATCAAAATAAAACAAATCAATCAATTCGCTTCGTAATGCTGGGGTGCCGGGTACGATCCCAGCTGTGGACGATTCCTCTTGCACTGGTTTTGACAGTGGTACCGAGAGTTGACCGTTTAGTAAGCAATGGCAAACTACTGAACGTAAAATTTGCCTAGAAAAACCACAACAGCCAATAAATGCTGGGGTTGGTTCGGCAACGTCCTGTGAAGGATACGCAACTAAATGTAACTTCTTATTTAGCAGTGACGTTCTATTCATGAACATGATAGAGGGTTTTTGCAAAGTCCTACTACACTTTGTAATGAAGAACAAATATAACGCATGGACAAACATTTATCAATAGGCAAATAGTTAAAATTAGACAGTTCTGTAATTCAGAACAAATATAACGGAAGGACAAACATTTATCAATAGGCAAATGGTTAAAATTAGACAGTTCTGTAATTCAGAACAAATATAACGGAAGGACAAACATTTATCATTAGACAAATAGTTAAAATTAGACAGTTAGTTCTGTAATTCAGATCAAATATAACGCAAGGACTAACATTTACATTGGACAAATAGTTAAAAATTAGACAGTTAGTTCTGTAATTCAGAACAAATATAAGGCAAGGACAAACATTTATCATTAGACAAATAGTTAAAATTAGACAGTTAGTTCTGTAATTCAGAACAAATATAACGCAAGGACAAACATTTATCATTAGACGTATAGTTAAAATTAGACAGACAGTCATTAAACAGTTATTTTTTTTTAGAACGACAATAGACTGGTAGACTGGCATTTTCTTTACTTTGGACAGACAGACGACTTATACTGAGTTAGACTTGGTGCTTAACTGTCACGTCTGATGTCCCCCAGGCTTGTCTGTGGGTGCAGGTGATGAGGTCTCTAAGACAGGGTGTTCGTCTGAAGAAGGTAGAGCACATTCACCTGCCCCCTTTAGAGTACGAGCTCACACCCTTTGAGATACTTCTGGAAGATATTCGCTTACGCAGATACACGCTGCATAAAATTATGGTGGGTTTTTGTTTGTTAAACATTTCATCAATAGGCAAATGTGACGAGAAATAGAAATCTTAAAAGCTATATAAGTCCTATCTTGGGATATACGGAAGTGAACCACGGACGGTAAAGTTTTGTTTTTACTTTCGAACATATTCCTAACGCAGGCATTGGTGTCATAAAGGACAAACATTTATCAATGGCCAGGCAAATGGATAAAGTATTTCTTAACAAATTCATGGCGTGGGTTCGGGTCCTGGCGGAGACTTCTTTTTTTAATTCAAATAACAAATTATTCCGGAAGGACAAATCACAAGGTGTAGTCCTGGGTAGTGATAGGCAAATGGTGTAAAATATCAGACAGTTATGTCTAGCCCTATATGAGTACGCCTGTGGTAATTCAGATCACATCAAGTGGCGTGGGCGATATGCCTCTCCATAATCCGGAAAGCATGTATCAGTTCGTGTGCCGATCCATGCCATGCAACAAGACATTAGACCAAATCTTTCCAGTGGTCACAAATTTTCCCTATTAGAAAAGTGAGTTCTCCTAATTCAGATCAAATATCGGTCTCCCGCCTCTTTTAAAACGCAAGGACTAACATCTACATTGGTACCAAATAGTTAAAAATTAGACAGTTAGTTCTGTAATTGTAGAAAGCAAAATATAACGCAAGGACAAACATTTATCATTAGACGTATTTATAAAATTAAACAGTTTTTATCCATGTAATGCTGTACTTGTCAAATTTAACGCAAGGACAAACATTTATCCATTAGACGTATAGTTAAAATTAAATTCAGTTTTGTAATGCAGAACAAATATGTAACGCAAGGACTAACATAACGTAAATTTTTATCATAAGATATCAATTAAAGATGATAATATATTCAGTTAAAAAATCAGGTGAGACAGTCATTAAAGATCTTTCCAGTTTATTTTTTTTTAGAACGACAATAGACTGGTAGACTGGCATTTTCTCTTACTTTTTCTGACAGACAGACGACTTATCATGAGTTAGACTTTGGTGCTTAACTGTCACGTCTCATGATGTCCCCCTTAGGCTTGTCTGTGGGTGCAGGTGATGCGGTCTCTAAGACAGGGTGTTCGTCTGAAGAAGGTAGAGCACATTCACCTGCCCCCTTTAGAGTACGAGCTCACACCCTTTGAGATACTTCTGGAAGATATTCGCTTACGCAGATACACGCTGCATAAAATTATGGTGGGTTTTTGTTTGTTAAACATTTCATTAAAAGATGCAATCTTTCTTTGTCAATTGTGACGAGAAATAGAAATCTTAAAAGCTATATAAGTCCTATCTTGGATATACGGAAGTGAACCACGGACGGTAATTTTTTTTTTTTTTTTTTTGGAAGTTGCGGAGATGGGATTTTATAGACGAATACCCTGGACAAATAAAAAGTGTAATGAAGACGATTTGCCAGCCCGGCCCCCCTACTTTCGTTAGCATATTCCTATCTTTCCAGGCATTGGTGTCATAAAGAGAGACAGGAACAATGGCCAGTTAAGGCCATGGATAAAGTATTTCTTCTCCTGAACACATCTCATGGCGTGGGTTCGGGTCCTGGCGGAGACTTCTTTGTTTTTTCTTTTTTTTTTTCTTTCCAAATAATAATATTAGCTTCCAGATCGACCCACCCATCAGTGGGTACAAGGTGTAGTCCTGGGTAGTGAAGGCGGCCGGTGTGATGTTGACTATATCACCCACCGAGTGCTATTTTCTATCAAATATATGTCTAGCCCTATATGAGTACGCCTGTGGTAACCTTACTTTCACTAAAAAAAATTTTTCGGTCATTGCTATTTATATTCCCATATGGATTTCAGAGCCCCAGTGTTTCGGTGGGGAGGGGGGGGGGGGAGGAATTGACTTACTGCCCCCCTCCTCCCAATAAGTGTGTCGTTGGAAGCGCCTAATTGTTCGCCAGAGTTTACAAGCGAAGAACGCTAAAAAGAAAGGTCCCTTTTCCACGTCTTTAGGCATACTGGGCCTATAGAGCTAGACCTATTATTTTTTTTAAGGCCAATCGGCCCTTGGTGGGTGATGTGGTCAGCATCACGCCGGCCGCCTTTACTTTCCAGGACAGCATATGGTACCCAATCAAGGCTGGGTCGACCTGGGAGTCATGGTCGTTTCTGAAGAAAAAGTCCAGCTCGAAAGGTAACAAGAAGAAGAAGATGATTTCTTCCCCATATCGTCTTTTTCATGTCTGAGAGTCCGACAAAGTGCAGCTGGGGAAGATCGTGGCCTGGAACGTGAATCAGGTCGGCCCACCTTCCTAGATTGTTTAGGAAGTAATGGGCCGAAACAATCGTCGGTGAGGGATCTTTCTACTCCTGCTGTTCATGTTTCCCCGTGGAGTTCTTCCTATTATTATAGTTCAGTATCTGTTCATGTCGGTCAGGTCTTGATCAGATATGAATGAGCTACCGTAAAACAGTAGCCGGTACCACCTGTCTTCTGTTACGCTGAATGTTGGGCGGCGTATACTAACCTAACATCCCGTATTGTGAAAACGGCTTCGGGCGGAGGAGCGCATTGGGAAAGATATTAGCCTTATCCTAGGAAGAGGAAATGCAACCTAAAAATTTTGTGTTATGGCAGGGCAGACCAGGCCCTTCGCCTTGGCTGGCAGCTGGTCTAGTAGGGAAGCTTCGACAGGCGGACAGATAGAGCACTGCTCTTCTGATCCGGCAGCTTCTGCAACCTGCCTCGTTCAAAACATACTGGTTTTACATTTCCTTTGGAATAAACAAGGCAGGTCGAGGGAGGAATCATTATGCATGGGCAACAAATGGTTTCTACAATACTGCCCAGGCATTGTGCTATGGAGAGGAGGAACTTTACACGGCCGGGTCTTGTTAGCTGTGAGTCCCCTGCCTCCTCATAGCGCAATATAACACTATCGCCTGGAAAGACGGTAAGGTGCCAATGTAATGTAATGTAAATCTGTTCATATAATCCACAATGAGCTTCACCAGCTAGCTAGATAAGTATCACCTACTCAGTATAAGCTTGTAGTTTGTTAGTACTTCATCATAGGTGTGTACATTTTTTTCTGATATGGTCATTTCATAGTGTATATATTTGTGTGTGCTGTGTTGTCTTTGTTTGCTGATGAAGGCTAATTGCCGTAACTATCTTTGAATGTTCATTGTAATAAATTTTGCAAAGCTGACACAGCTAATTTTTTTTTCTTACGATTTTTCTTTTCTTCCCTATAATTTCCTAACCATATTTTTTTAACCCGTCTACCAGGTGAACGGGGATATTCCTGAAAGGGTAAGGAAGGACGCTCATGACGTCATCCTGGAGTTCATCAGATCCCGCCCTCCTCTGAGAAAGGTAGGGAGTCAGTCTTGTTTCCCTCAAGCACAGTCTTTCTCATTCCATAAGCGTTTTGAGTACACTTAGGCTGAACACAACATTTTGAGGGGAGCCATCGTGGTGTAGCGGTTAGACGCCCGCCTTCGAATTTGTAAGTCGTGGGTTCGGATCCTGACAAAGCCGGACTTTTTTTTCAAAACTGACCTTGGTTCCCATGTCGACCCAGCCTAAAGTGGGTACTAGGTACAGTCCTGGGAAGTGAAGGTGGCCGGCGTGATGTTGATGACATCAACCACCATGTGCCGATTAGTCTTTAAAATATAGACTCAGCCCTTTATGCCCTATACGCCTGAAGGGGTGGGAAAGGAACCCATACTTTATTTTTTACAACATTGCGAGCTTAAATCGGGACAACCCTAACTAGACAGTGTAACCCGACGTCTTCTTTTTTTTTTACTAAGTCACCGGGGTGAAAGGGTTAATTACTTGCTCGATATAGCTATTAAAAACTGAACTCCTGTCGGCCAAGAAATAAACGAACCAATATTCTTTTGACTGACGTTCAACCCCACCAGGACGTTACACCGAGTAATAAACACTTGGTGACACAAAGTGCGACCATTCGGATGAGGATCACACGGGGACAGGTCACAGAAACAGCGTTCAAGCGATAGGATGGGTTATATTAGGGCCCCTGCAACAACCAGGGGCAGCGCTCTGAAGCAGTAAAAAAAACTGCGTCAGACATTGGGACGCAGCAAATTTATTATGCTCGATAACTGCTAAACAAACTATAAATACAAGGAAAGATATAAAACCAAACAAAAAGTATATCAGCGGGCTTCACAATATTAAAACACAAACAAAACGTGAACGTTGCGGCTATAGAGCCTTTCTCAGCATATAAAATGAAAATTTTCACAATACATTTCAGGCACTAAAAGTATCCATAACGACATCTATTTAGTAAGTAAAGTAAAGGTCCCTTTCCACGCCTTTAAGTGTATATGGCAAATCGGACTAGACCTATATTTTATAGACCAATCGGCACAAATGGGTGATGTGGTCAGCATTACGCCGGCAGCCTTTACTTTCTGGGACTGCACCCGGTACCCATTGAAGGCTGGGTTGACCTGGGAGCCAAGGTCATTTTTTGAAAAAGCCGGCACCGTCAGGGTGCGAACCCACGACGTTACGATCTGTAGGCGAGCGCTTAGCTCCCGAAATCTCTTCAGGTATACAGATATAATCTTCAAGTGTATGTTCTGCTCTGGCGTTAATTCCTATATATTTTATGTGTGTGTGTGTGTGTGTGTGTGTGTGTGTGTGTGTGTGTGTGTGTGTGTGTGTGTGTGTATAACACGAGACGATTGGCATTTTTTGTTGTTTTATCGACGTTACGGTCGAAGCACGGCTGAAAAACAGGACAGTCCCAGTGACATAGGGACATAAAGGGGTGCTACATCAGTATTTTAAAGACCAACTGGTGGTAGAATGGTGGTGGGATCAATACTCCAGATGGCATTTTAGGCGTGCCTGATTTGAAAAGAGTGCTCAAATGTTACATAGAACCTGTTCTGCTATATAGCAGCGAATCATGGAATGTCAGTGAACAAATTAGGAAGAATTTGGAAGCAAGAAAAAGATGTGGTTTCTGAGACGAATGTTACGAATACCTTGGACGGCCAGAATAACTAACAACAATTGTTTGAAAGAAGCTAATGAAAGAATATCTATATAAGAAGGAGACACACGACTGTTTTTTGCCCACGTAGTGAGAAGAGAGGCATTAAAAAACATCATGACAACTAGAAAGATCAGCGGAGAGAGGGATAGAGGCAGACCAAGTGAGATGATGTTGGATGAGCTGAAATGATGGCGTGGAGAGATATCATTTTTTTTTTTAAAAGTATCCAGAAACCATGAGTTGCAAACCCTTTGGCTCGGTACTATGGATATCGCAACTCTTCGGCCTTAATTCCATTATAGGTACCGTTAATCTAGGAGAAATGTGGCTTTTCTGCCTACCCCCGGGGGTAAACCCGGACCACAAGGAGTTCGTCACCCGGCCGCCGCGAAAGTCAGGTTTAACCAACTACGCTAGAGAGCCGGGCAGAGATATCATCAAGAGAGTTGTTCCAAGCAACCAGGGATATTGATGTGTGGAGATGCATGAGCACCTATGCCCTACGCCAACTGGTAGGGAACATGATGATGTTAAAAAAAAAAAAGTACATTGGTTTTGTAAGTTTGATTCTAAATTATTGTGTATTTGTGTGTGTGTGTGTGTGTGTGTGTGTGTGTGTGTGTGTGTGTGTGTGTGTGTTTATGTGTGTGTGCGCGCATGTGTGTGTGTGTGTGTGAGTGTTCTTTTTCAACTAATTTATCTTCTTGTCTTTCTTTTGCCTTGCCTTTTCTTTAGTAAACTTTTCATTTTTCCTTCTGTTTTTTTCTTCCTTTCACCCTCACGTATTCGAACTTCTTTCACTCCGTCCATTTCTTGCTTATACCAATACGTCTTCTTCTAAAGCTCATATCCCAAACTCCCCTTATCTTCTTTCTCTTTTCTTCTCATTTCCTTTTTTCTCCTTGAACTCAGGCCATCCGCTTTCTTCTTCTTTGTGTCACCTTCCTGCATCTGTTCGATTTTCCTTGATCTCTAACTCGACCCTACCTTCTGATATGTGCATTTGTACATGTCAGCTGTCACAAGATGGACAGTATTTGGGTATGTGCCTCATGCTTAGCTGCACAGGGCGGTAACATATTGAATGTAGAAAAATATATATGTGGGTGTGTGTGTGTGCCTGCGTGCGCGCGCGCGCGGGTGTGTGTACTACCCCGCTGCCTACAGAACCATACGCAAACGGCTTGGCCTCTCTGCCACGAACACTACCAGACAATTGGCCCACTATTGCCCGAGCTACACACCGTTTATCAGCAATAATTGCTTACATTGACTCTCATTAGCGCCCTGTATTGTTCCCGACTTGTTTTACTATACCGACAAATTACCAGTCTAATGTGGTAGTGTTTGGCTTACTGTTCTGACATTTCTCAGCGCACAGGGTGTTCCGAAAAAACAAAGTTATTGTGGAGATTCAACTTTTATGTTTAGATCGCTGAGAGTTTGACAGATGTTCAAATCCTCAGTAAACGGTTGAATATTGTTTTCTGTCAGGGGGTAAGCATCTGGGACCGGGTCGGCAATTTGCTGGCCGGTAGACGACTTCATCGCCGGTTGGGACATTATCCTGTAATCACATTAACACCCAAGGAGTCCTTTTCGGGGCTGCTAAAGCCAGTCTTGTTACATGGCTAAACCATTTGATTTGTTGTCTACCTATTAAGTTCAGTACTGGTTCTGTGCTGACTCTCCTCCTGAAATCATCGTTCTTACGTAGATCTTTCCTCGTTACACCTAGCATACCTAGTTTGTAAACATTTCATTTTGTTTTTCGAATCACTATAAAAAAGCTGATGACTTTTGCCGCAACCCGCAAATCACAACGGAGCGGTCAAAGAGAGTGTCATGAGAGAGTTTACATTCATCAGCTCCAAGTTTCAACTCGGCAACACCTCACTGTGCATGTCGATAAGGGGAGAGAACTCATGCGTTGATTGTGATTTCAGAAATCTTGCAATTCTTCTTAAGCCAGTCAGTTCGTACATTTTGTGTTGACGTTGAAATTCTGCATATTAAAAATCTTTGGAGGAGCATGTTAGAATTAAACGGTAGCTACACCTCCTTCTTTACAGGACATTGCAGATGAAACCTCCATTATTTATTCGCTTTGTGGTGTTATTGGACTATTTCTTATTTTTTTTGGTTTTTTGTTTGTTTTTTGCGAACACTCAGAATTTTCCACGGACGTCCACTGCCAGTGAGGTCACTGTGTTGTGCATGTTTACACAAATTCCACTTGGCATCCTTCGAGCCCAACTATGTCTGGGGTTATACATAACTAAGACCCTTTAGATCAGCCCAGTTTACCACAATAAGTACAACTAAATGTGTTAAGAAGTAAAAGCTGACGCTGTGTAGATAATATCACCCGTCTCATACGGATTAGTTTACCCATCCATTAATAATATTCGAAATGAGAATACTGGCCGCAAAGATCACCCCTCTGCAATAGCCCGCCATCTTCTAAAATTTGGAACGTGGTGATTTAATGCAACTCATTTCAAATCCTTCGTACGTCAACCAGTGGCAGAACGCTAAGATTTCTCGAAGCTTCCGCGATTCTTCACCTGCGCCCTGAACTCTGTATTCAGAAAGAGATGGTTCTATCTTTACGGCTGCCCTGGTAAAAACAGACAGTCTTGTTTTATCGTGCTGAAATTGTTCTTCAGTTATAAAGGATTCACTTATTTGCTTCACATGTATATTTGTTACTGTATTATGCACCTAGCGAAATACAGTAAAATATGCCTTGCCATAAATTGTGCAATATCTTATTTGTGTCTTCTTTGTTCAAATTTACAACGGGGAAGCATTGCTTTGAACATCATACATTGTTGAACAACCACATTCGAATGCCTGCCACCGTTGAGGAACACATGCTCAACCAAAAACACTCTTTCTTCAATAAATAATACCATTATAGCCAAGATCAATTGCTAAAACACCGGTATGTAGCAGTGATATTATAAACTAACGGTTACATGGCAATTACAACGTAACGTAATAATCAACATCAAATAGCAGATCCTTTGCAGAAAGTCGCTCTCATCACGGTCTGCCTGAAAGAAACTCGGTTTCTTGCCAGCTATCTCGCTTCTTGTTCTTTCATATTCAAAGAATCACTTATATCCTGTGCCCATCTTTGTGCTGGTCGGCCCCTTCTTCTCCTTCCTGGTATCATGTCTTCTGTTATTTTGTTCCCCATTCGCCATGGCGCTTGATACGACCAAAATAGTTCACCTTCTGAGACAAGATGCTGTTTATTAGTCAATCTTCCTTAATATTCAGATCTTTTAAAATGTCAGCTTTTCTTATCTTCTTTGTCCCTTGTATTCTAAGAATATTTCTGTAGCATTTTATTATTCTATAGCACATTACGGTGCGCAAAACATTGGTTTCAGAAAGTCTACAGTCATTAAACATACACCCTATATTTCATTGGCAAGATTCTCAAACCAGTTGTTGGAGGTCACTGACAGGTTTAAGTGTTCATTATGAAGTCACAACAGAACGAGCAGTGTAAAAGAGAACTGTATGAGGTCCCACCAAACACACCCACCGAGTTCATAGTTCAGTTTTTTGCTTGTATGGAGAGAAAAGGTCTGTTGAATCGCGCAAATGTCAGACATATTATTGGTCATTCTGGAAAGGACAAAGATTCTGAGCAAACTTGTGATGATCAAGTTGTGAGTATACATTCTTCGGTCTCTTTTCTTCTTGTTCTTCCTCTGTTTTTCTTCTCCTTGTTCTTCTATCTCTCCCTTCCTTCCATGTCCCTGCTGTTTTCACATTTATATTGTTGTTATTTTGTTCTTCCTTTATCTCCTTCTCGGAGCAACTGTGGTGTAGCGACTAGATACTCGCTAGCGGATCGTGGGTTCGAGTCCTGACGAAGCGGGACTTAAACAAAAATGACATTGGCTCCCAGGTCCACCCAGCTCTGAGAGGTTACCAGGTACAGTACTGGGAAGTAAAGGCGACCAGCGTGATGTGACCACATCACCCAACAACCGCGGACTGGTATAAAAAAATTTAAATTTAGGCCTAGCCCAATGTGTCATTTTACTTTATTTTGTCTCCTTTTCTAATTGTCTCTTTTTCTCTCCTCCATTCCTGCTTTTATAATTTCTGTATGTCTGCCTCTCTTTTTCTTCTTCTCAGCCTCCATATATTTCTCATCCCCTTCTTGCAACCCTTCTTTCTATTTCCCCTTCTTCACTCCTCCTAGCTCTCCCTTCTGTTTTCACCACTCTTCCTTCTGCTTCTAATCCTCAATGTCTACCTTATATTTCTCCTCCTCCTTAAAACTTACACCCGTCCCAATTCACCCCTTGGTAAACTAACGTTCTCGGTGTTCTATCATCTGCAAAATTCTCGAATTGTCTTCCTTATCAGGTTGGCGATCAGAAACTGAAAAAGCAACGATCACATTCGCCGAACCTACACGAACGTTTATTACGGGAAATACGATCTAAACCTAAGCTTCGACCTGTCAGAGGTGGCAAACTGGTGGGTGAGTATCTGCACGATTTGAGGACAAACATTAGAGACATAATGGTTAGGTTCAAGTTAGTCTCCCCAAATAGAGAAGGTCATTTTTTATTCACAAGTTTGTTAGGCTGGTCGACTTTCATGGAGATTACGGGTGTGTACCGCTCTGCTGTTTTTTGTGTGTGTGTGTGTGTGTGTGGCGATGTCTTGCATTTACGTTTTCATTCCGAGAAGAGAATGCCTTTGACATAGGTTGCAGCATTCTCTAGGGAGTTGTGCAAGAGCCAGTTTCTCTGTGTTTTTAGAGTGTTGAAAGCATTGGCGTGCTGAAATAAACAACGCGCGGTATCAACGGCATTGACGAGCACCCCTCCGTAACCTTGTGCCAAGGTGACAGGTTTAGGAACTACACATCAGAAGTGAGGTTGTGTGTATAGGGGCTGGGCGTGGGGAGACTAACGTTACGTGTTCTTTACATAAGATATGCTGTTGTCGAATGTAATATAGGCCTTTCATTTCCAAATGCGACAGTGCATTCCGTTGGTTGAAGGAGCCGTGTTGGCTTGGGGCAAACGGCCTGCAGTGATTTGCTAGCCTCGAATAACTTCCTAATGGTTGCGTGTTCTTTACAGGAGGAAGTTGCAGAACAAAAGCTAGTAGTTTGCCATTGCTTCTGAACGTTCAGCTGTCGGTACAACTGTCAAAACCAAAGCAAGACATACCGTCCGCAGCTGGGATAGAACCCGGCCCCCCTGCATTACGAAGCGGGTTCGCAACGTTTAAGCCACAGACGCCGACGTCTAACGGTTAACAAGACCTTTCATTCATTAATCATGTGCCTTGTCTGTCGGTTTGCCTAGTGATAATATTCCAGTAGACCTAGAGACCGGCTGCTGAAATCGTTTTTAGGAACCAACCAGGAAGACGAAAAAACAAAAACGTCCATGACACAGCTATATGACATAAATGGGCCAAAACATTAGGGTTACTGACTTTCCCATGCAGCAAAGTTGGGACCCTATTGACAGGTCAAACACCTATAATTTTGTCGGTCAACCCTTCTCAAGCTGGGTGCCTCGGCAAATATTCAAGAATATTTCAAAATCTGCTTGAAATCAGGCAAGACAGCAGTTTAAAACAGAAATACCACGAAGGAAGGCATGAAGAATTCTGGAAGCAGGTGTAGTCAGGAGACAATGCTACTGGCAGGGCTAAAGTGCATTCTCAACGTACGCCTAATATATATATATATATATATATATATATATATATATATATATATATATATATATATATATATATATATATATATATATATAAACAGCTACAGGAGCAAACTTTCAGGGTCAAGTGATTTGAGGGTAAAATTAACCAAACTGCCCATATAAATAAAGGAAATAATGAAAACCACTCAGTTTCATTCATCGCATTAAAGACAACTGAACATTAAATGTGCACTGTTTTTCTTCTTTTCCTAAGTATTCAACTGCATTAAGTGTAGGTGTACTACGAAAAATATTTTTGCCCGACAAGGGTGTCGCAGCCAAACCAGTTTGAGAACCACTGCTGTAGGAAAGAGATGAACAACATGGACGTGTCATGTTATGTTATTACAAACGACGTCTTTGCACATTGATCATTCCTATGAGTGTCCCGTCCTCTGATCCCATGCAGCAACCAACCCAAGGTGAATAAACTGATGGTTCCCATGAAGAGTTGATGATAGTTTATGCTTCTTGACCTTTAACCTGTCTTTCGAGGCAGATGTCTTCAAGGCCGTTTGGAAACAAGCAACGTAATCAGTAGAGAAAGGAGATTATTATGGCCTGGAGAGAATGAGGCACCTGTGTGTTTCCAGAGGGTTTGGCCGGCTCACTACACTCAGAGGAAAGGTAAGACAGACATATAACCAAATTGGGAAAGGTACCTTCAGTATTGGAACTCTGAGCTGGCTGCTGAAGATGAGGACGGAGCACGCATGGGAATGTCCCGAGCGCTGTGATATCAATTATTGACTCAACTCAAATCATCTTGACCCGAAGAAGGCACAGACGTCCTTCATCAAGCTTAACTGAATCGTTTTGGCGTCAGATTCCAAATTATCCCCTAACCTAGTCTGTACAGAGGTAGACACCGTGGTCTAGCGGCTAGACGCTCGCCTGCGGATCGGAAGGTTGTAGGTTCGGTTCATGACGAAAGTCGGATGTTTTTCTAAAATGACCTTGGCTCTCAGGTCGACCCAGCCTTGAATGGGTACCAGGTGTAGTCATAGGAAGTAAAGGCGACTGGCGTGATGCTGACCACACCGCCCACCTGGCCCTATATACCCAGTGTGCAAGAAAGGCGGGAAAAGGGTCCTTTACTTTACTTAGTCCGTACAACGTTAATGATATCTGCTCTGTCCATGATTGTTCCCGTTTGCAATGGTGCATTACCTGCTAACTTGCAATTGGGCTTGTCCATGTTTAATTGCCTATGACTCATTAGCCAAATAACAAAGTGCACTTGTGTATGTTTTCAGTAGAAAGAACTAGACCTCATCTCAGCATGAACAGCGATGATGACTCGCCGTCTCCGCCAAAACAGCTTATCAGACCAGACTTTAATATCTTCAAGTACAGCTTCGAGGTAGAGTTGCTGGTGATAATGACAGCTAGTATACGAACTGCAGTGGACAAATCTTATACTTGTCCTCCTCCTGCTCCACCTTATCTTCCTTCCTCCTTTCCCCATCTTCTTTCTTTCTCTATTTTCTTTCTTTCTTTCTTTCTTTCTTTCTTTCTTTCTTTCTTTCTTTCTTTCTTTCTTTCTTTCTTTCTTTCTTTCTTTCTTTCTTTCTTTCTTTCTTTCTTTCTTTCTTTCTTTCTTTCTTTCTTTCTTTCTTTCTTTCTTTCTTTCTTTCTTTCTTTCTTTCTTTCTTTCTTTCTTTCTTTCTTTCTTTCTTTCTTTCTTTCTTTCTTTCTTTCTTTCTTCTTCTTCCTCCTTTCTCGTTATTTCGCCTCACTTCTGTCCTTACTTCATTCTTATTCTTTACAGAGATTTACGTTGAGTAAATACTAGCCTTAAGGTAAGAAGTACAAAGCTAAACTATTGTTTCGTATGTTTAACAGAACTTACCCAATTTTTCCTTCGTCAACAACTCGTTAATTAACGCAAACAGACACTGACATGGAAAATAGATTAACAGAGGAAACAAGGAGTCCAAGTGAAACTGTCATGTGGACGTTGATGAGAAAGGCCAAAGATGCTGGACTGGAGTCCATTCATGGTATCGCGGTGACTGCACAGGATAGAAAAGGGTGGAGAAAAAGACCGTCAGTACTGTGTGACATGAAATAGCGTAATATGACACTGCACGAATGAATGTGTGTGAATGGTTTCCGAGATAGAGCAAAAGGGATGAATGCAATCGGCCTGTCGTAGCTTCAGTGTTAGCACCAATGTCAAGAAACGTCTTCTCACCATTCTCCCTGCCAATGGCTACAGAAAAGGCTACAGGTCTCATTGAAGGCTGTGATGCCACACACATCCGTCACCGATCCACACAGCTTGGTTTCCATTTGAATGCCAGCTGTTTAGACCCAGGATCATTCTACTGCCCGTAGAGAGCTTGCCTGCAGCACATCTTCAGTGTATCGCTTGTGTATCCATGTGGGAGACTTGTTTAGTTCTCTCCCAAAGCTCTACATCAGTAATTCTACCATACTTTTTAATTCCCTATTTTCTGCACAGGCACCAGTTTCATCTTCTTCTTCTTCAGCATTCCGATCCCTTGAGGTTCATTGCTGCAGATATCACCCGCCTGCATACAGGTTGGCCTTCTCTTTCCAGTTGGTAACACCAAGTCTGTGCAGGTCTGTCTGGATATTATCTCTCCATCGTCTTCTTAGTCTCTCTCGTTGTCTACGACCATTCATCTCCCTGGTGTATACAGTTTTTACTTCTCTGTCATCTGAAATTCTTTCAAAATTCCCCAACCATTTCAGTCTATTAGCTCTCATGATGCAGATTTCATACCTGCCTTATATATTGTCATACCCATCATATGCATGACACACCTGTGGTGACTTTCTCACTCCTATCAGGTCTAAGTAGAATTATCAAAATTTTCTGGCCAGATACAATCTCAAACACTAAACTACTTCAAGTCACAAACCAAGAAACTTCAGACAGTGTGATAACCAAGAGAAGATGGAAATGGCTTGGCCACGTTATGAGAATGACTCCCGATCTACCCGCCAAAAACAGCTCTCACATGGACACCAGAGGGAAAGAGAAAACAGGGGCACCCAAAAACAACATGGAGACGAACGAAGGAAAGTGACCTGAGTGCGGCATCTTTGACATGGAAAACTGCACTGAAAATTGCGCAGGACAGAAAAGCATGGAAAGTCCTCTCTAAAGCCTCGTGTGCCACTAGGCATAACGAGAACAGATGATAATGTACTGATCAGGTACTTTTAATATAATGTTCTGTTTTTTTTCTCTCTCTAACAAACAGGAATCCTCTGGAGATGAGGATGTTTTGAAAAGTTGCTCTTTGACGTCATCGCCAGTGTTGGACACATCGTTCACAAGTGGGACAACCACTCCACCGCCATCGCCACCTTCACACCGGACAGGTAATGAATTCACACCTGTTAGGATCCTGAAATACTCTGGGTAGATTTTTTTTTTCAACTCTAAAATTTTTTGCCCGTGCAGAGGCGTTAGGCTACTTTTTTCGAGTTCCAACTGCCAGGGGATTTTTTACGTGCTCAATAATGCACACTGGCGTCTGATCTCACTACCCAGGACCAGGAGGAATTACTAGAAGTCCCAGCCCTTACCGGGGACTGAACTTGAAACCTCTAACACTCGAGGCGGACACCATGCCTTGAGACCACGCAGCTACGCCCCCCCCCCTCTCTTTGCGCTTCTCTTGCGCTCCACCCCCCTTCGCAACACTCAGTAAAGGATACGCAAATAACTAACTACTTAGATCTCACATTCAGATATTTTGTTTAAAAAAACAACTGACCTACATGTTTTTGTTTTTTGTTGTTGACAGATGCCTTTCTGTTTGAAGAGAAACCTGAACGTCCGGCAAGACCGCAGAGAAGGCACACTATTAACATTTGTGAGATGCGCAGGGAGCGAAAGGTAGATTATGTCTTGCCCTTTCCAATAAAACACTTTATTTTTGTATACGTTCCACTATAAGTATTATATAATGTCAAAGTTAAAGTCGGGGGAATAGACTCCGTTTGTTACTTGTCACCTTAACGACATCCTAGCACACCGGTCGGGCCCAATCGGGCTTCGTCCTCTGATGCAGCAGCCATCTCAGTGTCTCCACTCAGGCGAGGAGAAGAGTGGGTCAATGTGTCCGAGCAAGAATCTGATTTGTGTGTGGTTCTAATCACTTTAGGTCGTGAATGCTGGAACTGGGCAGTTGGTGCTGCAGAGTCAAAAGTGCAACAAAAGATTCATGACAATTCCCGCCCAAGTGATGTTATTATACAGGTGGCTTGGGTTTAGGGGGCAGAAACCCAAAGGGTGTTATTTACAGGTGGCTCTGTTTTTAGGGGGAGACCAAGTGCTGGTTTTTATAATGGCTCTGTTTTTAGGGGGGGACCCAAATGATTTTTTATACGGTGGGGTCTGGTTTTGGGGGGA